CACTGAAAACTTTTTCTAATAAAAATTGAGCCCAAATTTTTAATAAATTTTAAAACGACCTTTGAATTTAGTTGATTTCCTCATCGCGAAATCCGAGGGGGCTTAGTCCTGTGCGCATATCGCTGTCATTTCCGGCCTTCGCGTTCCAATTTTCTCACGCTTGTCTCACGCCCCCAAACCACCACGTCATATATGTAAGCCTCAGAATTCCCCAGAGCCAAAAGTTTCGTCGGTCTGGTGGAAATTTTCGAGTGGGAAAGTTGGGGCTGCGAATGCCGCTAGGAGGCGCCGAAAACTTTGCATAATCTTCGACCACTCCAGCTGAATTTCCCCCTTCTATACTCTCGATTTTCCGCGGCAACTGTCATAAATTATTCGGTGTCGATGCGAAAGGCAGGATGGTTGGATGGCTGATGGTCTGTTGGGATCTTGGGACCAAGTTGAATGCAAATTTAAAGAAAATTGTCGCGAAAAGTCGATTGCCAATTGCCGTTTAAGCCGTTCCTCCATCTGCAATCCGAGCCACATTAATTTCCGAGGCCCCCATAAATATGCAACTCGAGCCCAGAAGTTGAATTTCTCGCAGCCGCACTGTTGTTGCACAAATTGGTTGCCAGTCGACTGGCGAGATGCTGCCATTTGAGCCGATGTTGTCTGCTAAATTGGCTTCCAATAACGTGGTCCACGCCAAAAGTGTTGGATCCCCCGATAACGTCCCTTAGAAAACCCCCATTCTATGCAGCCCAGCAGACGAACAATAGTGCCCATTGCATATTTTTGGCAAACAATGGCTCGGCGAGCCAAAGGACAAAAGGTGACCAAGGTCGCGGTGCACACATATTCACGGCAACCAGAACAACCAGGGCAACCAGAGCGTGGCAACAAATGGGGAAAACGCATTTTTCCTGCACCACCTTGCAGCTGGTGTCGCCTTCCAAAAGTGTCGGCCCCGGAAACTGGGGGTTTGGTTTTCCCCCAATCCGCACACCAAAACCATACCACCAACGGAAATGTATATCCGAGTGTGTACTTTGAATTTTCTGCTTAAAAAGTGCGACTTTTAATCCAGGTGGAGAATAAATTACAATATAAGTTTTAGTTGCATTAGGCTGTGAAAATCTTTGGGAAAATATTTGCAATAATGTTAATGGAATGCATTAAATAATAACGAGGAGTAATGGGCAAATGATTTATGGCCATGTATTCGTAAGTTATTTAAGGCCTTGCTGGATTTTTCACTAACAACGGATTAAATTTGAAAAGTATGGGCAACCTAGATTTATTTACAAAAAGTCGTGGCAACTTAAACATAATTTAATATATAAATTCACATGTTTTTGGATTTGGACGACTTTTTGTTAGGTAGAATACTAGGCCTTAGGGTGTAGCCTTAAAGGCCTTTAGAACTTGAAAAGTTGTAAATATTTCAAATGAAATAAATAAATTTCCTTTAACTTTTGAAGTTTAATAGGAAAATTGCTCTTGTTGTCTAAGAAAGTTAAATGTAATGCATTGTATCGATCACAAATTAGGTTACTAGTTATGATATGATTTAGTTCTCGAAAAAAATGGCTGTATAAAAAAAAATATTAAATGTGAAATTTTGATGGGGTAGAGTTGCAGAAAAATAGTATTTGTAGAACAAACAGGCATTGTATTTGCACAAGTCGAACCTTTTATTATAAACCCATTATACATTTTCCTTGCATTGTTCGAAGGAACGTATTTCCCATTGGTCTTGCAGAAATTGGTTTGAAATTCAGACAATATAAGGATTTTTCAAAGAGAATAAAAACAAATCTCAAGGGTAATCACGATTGGTAAAAAATTTAAGACTTGACAATCTATATGTTAATTTCACATTTAAATGCAATGAATGATAAAGTATATTAGCAGATTGACAACGAACAGATAGGTAGCAGCGCTGCAAGAAATATTTATAGTAAGTTTAAAGCAACCTTCAGAAATTGACCTTAACCTTAGCTAGCAAGCGGAAGAGTAAACCATTTTTCACTTACAAAATCAGTCCTTAGAGCAACAAAAATAATTACTCTTTTTGCAGGCAAAACTGAGTATATTAGCTAGAGAGTTTCTAAATGGAACACGATAATTAGCCAGAGTGATGCCAAATCCTTATTAAATTTCCTTGTTTGGCTTGCCAAAAATCTTAAAAGTCCTTTGGAATATAAATCATGGTCTTTGTGGGGTCGTCCTCGCTGGTTTCCACAGTCCCATAGTAGTTCTTACTCACATGTCTGGCAAATGGAAAAGAGCTGACACAGTGGGAAGGCATTTTTCACTTGGCTCTCGTTGGCACACTCAATTACCACCTAATGTCCTTACTTGAGCACAATTTACGCAAACATTTGGATGCGGATTGGGCGGGAAAGTGGCTGGGAGATGGAGATGGGAAAGTGGCGCCCGAATTCCGATTGCCCCCGCCCGGCTGCGTAAATGCTGCCAACTGAATGCAACATGAATTCACATTCTGCAATTTTTGGTACTGCCGTTGCCTACCCAACAAAAAAAAAGGGAAAAATAATATTTTGCTGCGATTTGTTCGCTGTGTGAGCAAGCTGTAATGACTTTGCTGTTTTTCTGATTTGTTTGCTGTCTGCACGAACAAATTACACAATTTTTTTGCTGTTTTAAGTTCTGTTTATGTTTTTCATTTGCAATGCAGTCATGGCATCTCACATCAACCATACATAGTCTTTAAGACTTTAATTTAATAATTAAATTAAGGGACTCAGTGTACATAACATGCAAAGCCTTTATTAATGGCCTTTTCATTTACGTAACTTAACAGATTTTCTGTCAACAGCAACCCCATTAGAACCACATTCCTAGACCAAGTTGTGGTCGACAAGACTCAGAAATTAATACGAAATTCCAAGAAATTCCATGACAAAGACGAATTTTCCTAATAATTATTGAAATTTAAAAGGATTATCCATTTTAAGACCCTCTTATTTGCTAATGTCTTCGGCTTATGTGTAAGTAGGAAGCCCCTCAGGCAATTAAATAAAGTCGAAAGGGAAGCTTTCATTGCACTAGCTGCTGGTTTTTAATTAAATCAGTATCAGGAAAATCAATTTAGACGCCGAAGCCCCAGCAAACGTCAGTTTTCATTTGTCTCAGGCTTAGGGCTCCTTAGCGGCTGCAAGTACCCAGTCAAACTGAAAGCAGCTTGGCTCATTAAAGCGCCAAACAATTTCCGTTCCGGAAGTCGTCGACAGTGCGACAAACTCCTTACACTTTCCCATTTTCCCCACCTCTTTTCTATCATTTTCCGGGAAGGCGTTTAAAATGCAGCCGGATGAACAAAAGAAGTCAAAAGACCATCGTTGCAAGTAACGCTAGGAATTTACGATGCCATTCCGAAGGCACTTCTTCGGTAGTTGGGCTTCCAGGTGTTTGTTTATACTAAGTCGGCTAAGTTAGAATTCGAAGTAAAAGTGAAATGATAAATTGAAGGGATGGATTGTTTGAATTGTAAACAAGCCCAAGCACTTAATCCGATGAAATTATTTCTAGAACAATTTACCAAAGGTTTTGTTCACCCAACTGGTTATTAATATGAATGTACATTTTTTTTCAATTATAGAAATTCTTTAATCTAGTAATTTAACTTGGTTTTAAAAAAAACATTTTTCAAGTCTACATTTTTCAGAAAATTTTATAATATAATGCAAATAGTTTGTGAGTGTATGGATATCATGAGAGATAACTACTTCCTTACCTGTTTATATGGGAAATTTCCAAGTTGTTTAAGATATTTGGTTATGTAATGTATAATGATGTATATAGAATATTTAGTATTCATAGTCACATCGTTTAATTGGTACAATTTTAAAGGGTAATGAATCACTAGCTACGTTTATAGACGGTTAAATTTTACTATTATATTGGTCAGTTTAACCCACTAGTTTTTTCGTGTGTAGTTTTAAGTTACCATTTGGCACACATAAGTGAATATATAGTGCATCTTAAGGCATCTTGGAATATGGAGACATTAAACTGCGTTAATTACCCGACAGTCTTTATGTTTGCTTATGTTTGATGCATATTATAGTGTGTTTGCATGGGAGTGTCTATTAATTAGAGCACGTACACAAACACAGAGAGGGGTGGTGAATATTATGATATTGCCAACTGCACTCGCGTAATTAGCAACAAAACGTAGTGCATATTAAAAATAGCAACCAGCAGAGATAGGAAATTGTAGCTGTGTGTAAGAGCGCGTGGCAAATGAAAAATGATAATTTCTTTTTTTTTAGGCAAGTGCTCATGTTCGCATTGGCAGACAAACGTTTTAATTATGTTCATTATTATAGGCGGCTTAATTAAAAAGTCCACTCAAACAGGCATAGGAATAAGTACCACTGGACTTGTGTGGGCTGTAAAAGCAGAATGTCACGCCCTGGCATGAGATTTGCAGGCAGGCCAAGTTTAATTGCCGTAGGTCACAGGGGACGTGACTCTGCACCTAATGAACTAAAGCTGTTCCTGGTATAGTCTCAGGTTTTTCCGATAGAAGCAGAAATGGTAACGGCAGGATTTTCTTATCGGAGCATCAAGGCAGGCTTAAAGAACTCATATTAAATCTTGGTACAACCTTTATAATACAAGGTTGTTGTGTTTTTAAGGCATCCAACGTAGTCTCTTCTATGCAAAGTCATTTAAAAAAGCACCAGAAGTGTTGATTTAAGTTTAAAAGGACCTTTACATAAACATCCTGATAAGACAAGAACCCTTTAAGTTCCATTTTTATCTGTATCACTACAATATCATATATTTGTTTCTGAAGAAAATGTTTGTAAGCTGGTACTATCATTGCAAGCACCCAGGAAAAATCCCTTTTAATACAGATACGCATGCCAGGCCGTAGTATATTATAGTGCCGCACATTGAACATGAAAAATTCCAAGAGATTATATTAGTTTGTACTGTTTGAAGGAACTAACTTTCCTCTTACTCCCTCTTCATTTTCCTTGCAGCTGGGCCCATTATTAGCGGCTTGAGGAGCACACACGTAACTTTGATGATAATGATGATGATGATGCAGACATCGAGGTCCTGGCAACAGGAATCGGAAGTGGAGCAACGAAAACAACATAAACAACCATGGCCAACTGATGGGGCAAACATATCAGCGGCTTACGACCGTAACAGTGATAATGACGATGGCAACCACGGGGTGGTGCATAATGAAAACAACGACGGCAGCCCGAGCAGCTCAACGAATTTTAGCACTTCCGCCTTCCGACAGCGGGAACAGGAACTCCCACCCACCGGTCAACACAGAACCCGGATACCCTCCGCCGGACCCGGATCCTCCAGCTCCATCTCCATTTCCAGCTGGACAATGCTGCTCACCCTTCTCTCGATTTCTGCCCTGACATCCTCCGCAAATGTCTCAACCACCAGCCATCTGACCATCAACGGCAGCATTGGCAGCACCGATTACATACTGCTCTCCGGGGACTCCACAACAGCCCTGATTCCCGTCCAGACCACCGGGATCTCGGGGGTCGGAGGTGACGGACTGGCGGAACTCGAGGACGAGGAGGATGCGGAGAAGGCCAGTGAATATATCTTCGATCGCACCGATGTGCGCATTATATTCATCACCCTTTACACTCTGGTGTTTTGCTGCTGTTTCTTTGGTGAGTAAGACAAAGTTTAATAACATGTTGGTCAGTTGTTACAGCCTTTTTATAGACTTCTTAAAAAGTATGTAGGTAACAGGCCAAATGAAGGGATTTAGACCCTTCAAAAGTATTACAAAACAGAAAGACTTTTTAAGTAGCCAACAAAGTTGTGAGCTTCATTATAAAACATTTCAGATATTAAATTGTGTAACGAAATGTTTAAAGAAAGCCTTAATTTTTCCCAAATTTTTTAAGTCGTCAGGCTGCTAGAGATGCTTAATTATCTGGCAATGGCAATTAACTGCAACTATTTCTCTAAGGGAACTGCCTAACATTTTTCCTTTCATTTACAACATTTTTCTTGGAATATTCGCAGAATACATGTATGTATTTGCTGTGCTATTCATTAATCAGGTCCTGGCTCAATGTTATGTTTTATTGTACTATATGCCGTGCTTGATGGGGCACAAAGGGCAGTCGAAACATGGAAGTCAGGAAAAAAAGTGGGCAGTTTGCGGTGGCCCTAGGGATAGTACGAGAATGCATGAACTTACGCCTGACTTGCCAATTATTCAATGTCCAGTCTTCCAAGCCATATTGAAGTACATTCGTAGCCTTTGCCTTTTTCTTTTTCTTGTTCCCTTGTTCTTAGTTCTTTTGGGTAGTACTCGTATTTGAATGTCTTGTTTCAGTGATTGTAGACATATGGTTCAATTAGCTCCAATTGCTCATAAGAAGGGGAAGTCAAATCGTGGTATTACATCAGTACAACAACACATATATTTTGGGTCATAACAAATTGGCCAACCAGATCAAGAATATTAATAAAATAAAAAGAATCCCTTTAAAAAACTTTAGTAATTTGAACTTTACCCTACCCATTTTTTCCTCATCATTGCAAATTCTTTGTTAAAAAATAAATTACTAGATATATACTATTTTTACGACTTCTTTGAAACCATTTTATCCTATTAAAATCTAAATGTCGTGCAGAAACTGAATTGTACAAAAGCCAAAGCGATTATATCTTTCAAAATTTAAGGTTTCGTCTAGACATTAACCCGGCACTCCCACGGCCCATGTGGCACATTAAAACGAAAGCATTTAATTGATAGCACTCATTAGGCCATTTGTTATTTGTTCTCAGCAATGCTTAATTGCAGACCCACACATAAACATAAGATGTCCTTCGGCCTGGCTGCTTATCTGGCACCGGACGGTTAGAATCAATTATGTCGTTCGATCGGGCGTTTTGCGGGTGTTGACCAATCTGGGTGTTGGCCATCGTCAGTTGTAGGCTTTATGACCCGCAGTGACACCAGCATCAGCATCAGCAGCCCCAATAAAAGAGGGTAACATGTGTATTCGCCATGCCGAGTGGCGACAAACAGTCGCCCGCCCATTAGGCACAGACATGGGGGCGTGGCCGGGCATTGTGCGGACAATTGCAAAGTGTAAGCAACTTACATAGTTCACTTCACAGGCGACCGGAATGTGGGCGGAAATGGGGCGGACCGGGCGCAATTTACATCGTTCAGTCACGTTTAAGGCTTTGTTTGGATATTTGTTTGTGGCTGTCACTCGAACAAGTAACTTTATTGCCATTTTTTCTGCATTGCGTGAGCTTCGAGTGCGAATATTTGTTTCCTTAACTAATTGTTTTAAGCTTACGAATGGCACAGCAATATTTAAAAGAATTTCATTGTCCATGGTACTCGGCACAAGTGCAATTTATCTGATTTTCTTAATTGAAAAAGTATGTTTTCCCAACTTGGGGTTGGTTTTATATTACAATTTTGAAGTTGCACAACGGTTTTAAAGTTTTCTTAAAAATTACTCATACGACACTTATGCCGGTTACAATTATAGAAAATAGTTCTCCCATTCGACCTGTCAACCTATACACTTTGTTAGAACAAATATAAAAGAATTGAAATATTTCATTTTCAATATGTTACTTTTGAAGTGCATTTTGAAAAATTTCTATTGGTTAGTGCCTTATAGGGTTGCAAACGCTTTATTAAAAGGAACTAATTTGATAAATTAATAAATTAAAGCGAAAACTTCTTACCATCCTATAAATAATCTTGTATACACGTGTATCTATCTTTGATGCTTGAACCCACTGGTGCTCCTCTTACAAATCCCGATGCAGTCCTCCCTCCTTAATATCGAATTTCAGAGCACGCCTCGGAGTGTTACACGTTTTTGGTATTTTTTGGCAGCTCGGCTTCTCTTGCTTTTTGTTTTCTGCTTTTTTGCTCTCCCATTTCCTGTCACCCTGCCCGGTGTAATTAAAAAACTTTTTCTCGACATTTGTTTGCCATGTGAGGCCCCAAAATAAATGTTTCGTTCTGGACCATTCTCTTGTAAGAGGCTCCAAGTGCAGTACAAATTACAGAGCAAGCTTCATATGACTAAAAGATTATTGTGATACATGTTTAACCCTTTATTTAAGGTGAGACAGTACATTAAAAAGGAAAGTAATAACGCTTAAAGCTGTAAAATGCTTGGTTTTATTGCCACTTGAGTCAATAAACGGAACCGGTAGTTACTTTTTAAGGACCCTAATTAAAAAAAACAAACAAATAATATTTTAATTATTTGTAATGTAATGCCCAAAATGAAAATCAAAGGGATTGTGAAATTAATGAAAATTCGTAGAAGCCGCGAATTTGTGTGGAAAAATTCGGGTGAAATTCATTTCGCATGAGTAATGCGAATTAAACCCGAAATTGGGTGCGAAATGAGCCCTTTCTGGGCAAATTGGATTACTGCAGTTGGGGTCCAGATGGTGAGTTAGTTTAGCTTTAAATGGAATTTCTGACCACAGTTGCCATTTGCGGTTTAAGTGGTAGAGGAGCTCTAATTTATGCTTGAATGGGCACGTATCTGAACCCTATAGGGAAATTTTCTGTGAAACTTACATTATGCTGTTACTGGCAGGAAAAATTCTTAGAAAACGTGAACGGTTTATTGTAGATTGTCATCTAATATTTCAATTGCTTTTCCATTTCTTGGTAACAATTGAGTTTTTAGCTCGAACTATTTGCAAAGTATAGGAACATAGTCCGTTTTCGTTAGAAAAATAGTTTGATAATATATTTCTTATCCTTTATATGATTTTCTATCTCTTCCAGCATTTGTCATCTTTAAGTGATGGTACATTCTCTTTTTATATTTTCAGGTAACCTACTTGTTATTTTGGTGGTCACATTATCTCGACGATTGCGCTCAATCACGAATTTTTTCCTGGCAAACTTGGCGTTTGCAGACTTTTGTGTCGGACTCTTCTGTGTGATGCAGAACCTGTCCATCTATCTCATAGAAAGGTAAGTGACAGTTATAAGAAATGATTTTTTATTGGGCTCGAGAGGAGCTAAACAATGCTAGAGAAGCTGAAAAAGATGGCGAATGATAAGACCCGAACTAGAATAAGGTTTCTCTTTGTATGATTAACTGTATAAATTTTGCTAATAGGTAAAATCTAAAAATTATAAATAAATTGGCAAGCGGTTCTTCTTTTCTTCATTTTTTAAAAGGGTAAATGATCTATAATGTATATCTTGTGTAACACACATTCGAGGTATTTTACGCTCTAGCAAGTGATACGGTGTTAGAATTATCGGTATGTTCAATATAATGCAACACAAAAGTGTGAACTTTCAAGTGAAACATTTACACATATGAAACGGGAAACTTTCACTCTGCAGGCGGCACTTTCATGACAGCCTTTTTGCCCACCCCTTTCACAGCTTTCACTCCAATCATGTTTATATGCATTGTGTTTCTTAACTTTCTTAAAAACACGTCGTTGCGACGTGAGCAAATAAAAAGCGCACAAATATGAATGCGGAAAAATGGCAAAAAAAAAGTTCTGTTTGAAAATTCGAACAATGAAATGTGCAAGGATTTCCTGATTTCAAGCAGTAGAAAAAAAAATACAAAGCGACTGACGTCCTGTTTTTTTATTGAAATATGTTTAAAGTTGAATTTTTAATTGAAGTGAATATAAAAAATATTTATATATGAAGATGAAGTTGAATTTTATTGATGAATTTGAATTTGATCCTGTGACAGCTATAGTCAGGTCTTTGGATAAACAGTATCAAGAATAGATATTTATTCGCTGGAGCGGCTAAAAAATATGTATTCAAGTATAGTGATTAATTTAATGCCTTTTCGAAGGTTGGCATCTAATGAAGGTCATTAAAATAAAGACAATTATGAAGTATTGACCGCTCCGCTGCGACAAAGAAATAATATTTTCCTTTATAAGTAAAAGCCTTTTCAGGCAGTGCACTGCAGTGGCCCAAATGGCCACTATACCAAAATGGCTGCCACAACAAAAAACTCCATTTAAAATGAAAATGGCTGCGGTCTTTGGTCAGCAGTCTAAAAGCCTTAAAAAAATGTAAAAAGCTTTTCAGGAAGTGAAATTTAATCAGCGGAGACTACAGACTACACAGTTTCAATGGTGTTTCCTAATCAGCTTTCAGCTGCCAAAAAAGTAAATTATAAAAATGACCAATCTGTGGGCCTGCATAATTTTATCTAATTATGCACACAATTTGATGGCAATCAAAAAATATATGCAAAACTAGATAAGATTAGGGTAAATCATCATAAATTATGCAAAAACTGATTGCGGTCAATGATAATGATCTACCCAAATATCTAACATATATATGTCATGTTTTTCCTGCTTCTATTTTGGCTTTCAACCATGACTTATCTTTAAAGACATTTACACGTTTTGCTGCATTAAACTTTTTAGGAGGTATTTTATACATGTTTATATGCTGTACTAAAAGATTGTACTATTAAAGTATTATTGGTCATGGTTTAACGCACGAACGCTGTGCACAAACGGAATTATGTGGTAGAGCTAATAACGAAATCCAATGATTCGTCGCCTCCTTTAATTTTAGCCGAAATAATAATAAAAAGGAAAAAGCTTTTCGCCCCATAAAATACTAAAGACACCTTAATGTCGCATTAGTTTCGCTGGCGTGTCATAAAATTTTATGTGACTGGCCCTAAATTAGGATTCGACACTTTGAGGCTAAACAAAGGCAGGGGGACTCTTAAAAGGACGAAACTTTCTCCCATAAACAATTATTAATTCTACAGAGTGTGCCTTTCTATTTTCAGCTGGGTTTTCGGTGAGTTTCTGTGTCGCATGTATCAGTTTGTTCACTCGCTGAGCTACACGGCCTCGATTTTCATCTTGGTTGTCATTTGCATGGAGCGTTACTTCGCAATAGTGCATCCCATAACCTGCAAACAGATCCTAACTGCAGCTCGTCTGAGGGTAAGTTGAAAAATACTATAAATGTAAAATATAAAATGATATTATAGCAGCAATTGTCGAGTTATAAAGGTCTTGATAACGAGTTAAAATATTGAACGAAAAAGTGTTTAAAATTAAGTTGATGGACCTTCCTCTTTATTTTCGATTCATTTTTACAACTTTTATAACTCAATTTGAATACAATTTGCAAGCTAATGAAACTTATTAGACCGAGCCCAAAGAGTCATGCAAATTTAGCGTCAAAACAGTCTCGAAGGGCTTAATAAGCTGTGGGCATAACTTTGTGGCTGCGAAAACTTTTCCCCTCTGGGGAAAATAATCCAACGCTGAATGGGTTAACCCACACACCCAGATTGTTCCGATTTCAGGGTGCCTCCGACACTGTCACAAAAAATAATATACATTTTGGTAATGACGATTGTCCTAATTAAACTACAAGGGACATAAAGACAACAAAATGGGCCCACCATTAACATGCAAATTCTGTGTGTTCATTCGCAATTTAACAAATTGTTTGCGTGTTTGGCAGCCCAGTAGACAAAACAAAACAAAACGAAACGTCAAACGTGCGTGTTTCTTGCAGATGGTCATTGTCACAGTTTGGATTACATCGGCCGTATACTCGACGCCCAAGTTTGTTTTCAGCAAGACCATTAAAAACATTCACACGCAGGACGGCCAGGAGGAGGAGATCTGTGTCCTGGACCGCGAGATGTTCAACTCCAAGTTGCTGGACATGATTAACTTTGTGCTGCTCTACGTAATGCCGCTGTTGGTAATGACGGTAAGTGAATGAATTTCTGCTTTTCTCTTAATTGATTAAAAAATTAAATTGATATTTTTTAATTGTTAAGCTTTTATAAAAATTGAAAACAAGATAGGCTTGTATTGATAAAATTCCATATCGCTTGTAGACTTATATACCCCGTATCACTAAAATAACGCACACTGTAACAACTTGTGTTTTTAACATGTTCAGTTTAGGAGAAGTAAAACAAAATGGTTAATATGTGTGTCAAATACAATAATGTTAAAATGTGAAAAACTATTGTTTATTTTTAACACGACGTGTTATTAACATGACTGGTTCTAAACACGATGTATTATTAACAAAGGAGGTAATTTTAGCACAATTAACATAATCAAAAAAAAAAAATAAATAACAATAAATAGGATTTTATTATAAATTTAAATGAATTTTATTGGAGAGTTCATGTTTGAAATTAAACATTTTGAACATGCCCTTTTTCTTTTACTTAGATTAGTTATAGTAGCGTTTCAAGGGTATAAATGATAAGTGAAAATTTTCCTGCAATATCGACTTGACCGTAGCCCTATTTTTCACAGTACTAATGTGTTACAATTATAGCATTAAATGAATGGAATGCATACAATTTTTATAAATAGGTGGATGTGGAAAAATAATATGGGATTACTAAGGGTTATATAATTGTTTCAAAGAAATGTACAGTCCCATTCCCTGTCGTACTGCTTTGAAATTGTTTGAAATTCCAACCAAAAATACAACTTATCGAGGGGTTGTGGTTGTGGTTATAGCTCCGTCTTCCAAGCAGAGTGTAATCGATAAGCTTTGCCAAACTTCCAGGACAATATCGTCGCTTGTACTGTGATGAAATTTGAATAATGAAATTAACCACGAACACATTTGCATTGCAGGTGCTGTACAGCAAAATCGCCATTGCCCTGTGGCGCAGTTCGCGGGGTCTTACACCGCATGTGGCGCAGCACCATCAGCACCAGCAGCCGCAGCAGGCATCCTGCCAGGACGGCGGCATGGGAATGGGGATGCACAACAGCATGTACCATCACCACCAGCACCACCACCATCAGATGCACCACCAGCTCCCCTCAGCGGCGTCAACAGCAACCTCGGCAGGATCTGCTCCTCAGGCAGGAGGGGGAGTGGGAGTTGGAGTGGGTGGAGGTCCTGGCTCCTCACTCGCCTCCGCCGGCAGCAGCACCACCTCCTTGTCCCGCAAACAGAGCAGCAAATATGAGAAGCGCGGCGTCAGCATCACGGAGAGTCAGGTGAGCTGCCACGAAAAGAAACCCTCCCAAAAATATACAATAAACAAGAAGAAACGCTAGAGTCGAGTGCTTCGACTATCAGATACCCCTTACTCAGTTTCAAACATCACATAAAATAAAATTCAAAGGGACTTATATTTGCCAGCGCCACGGCACCTAGCGGATCCTAGCGGTACTACCGACCATGTCAACGCCTGTTTAACTTAGTAGTCATAACTTTTAAAATAACTATGCTTTAGACACGATTCTCAGCACTTAGATAGATAATGATCATTAAAATCAATTTCAATTTAAATTTTTACAAAATCTTTAAAAATGTGTAAGCTAGACAGGTTTTAGCGGTATGGGCGTTTGTGGACGGAAAATAAACTTGCGCTGCGCAAGAATCTCTAGAATCTCCAAGCTTAATCCCAACTTTCTAGCTATAATAACTAGTTTCCGAATTGTCAGCGTACGTAGGAAGGATTTAAGGCGGCTTGTGAGCGTTAGAGTGGGTGTGTTACATACCTTTTCCCGAATACAACATACCATTTTGCAATTCAAGAAACCGGTATAAAGAGGAGGTTTAGAAAGGGTATTATAAAGCATTAAAAGCCATCATAATAAACCAAAAGTGGAGTCTTAACTTTGTCGCCTAATTGACCAGAACGGCTTTAACTTCGATTTGGTTCGGTACGTGCTATGCGGTAAATAATGTTTCTTGGAAATCACATCGCTATTCAGGCACTAATTTATTAGATACATGGCAGAGCTCTCAGTCGTAAAAACTTTCCCCAGGAGATTTTATTCCCGCAATTTTGCCGGGCCAAGTGGCGAGGGTCCTTGAGGCAGGAGCTGGAGCAGGTGTCAATTCACATTAAGGCTATCGCTGACCTCGACCACAAACTCAGCCAGTGTTGTGACAGCTGGTGGAGCGAGGAAATAAACCACCTAGCCAAGTAGAACTGCAAGTGAGACGCCAAAGTTATGGCCAAAGTGTTTTTTCCATTATTGCTGGCCGGACAGAAGGTCCAATTGGTCAGGTGTGTTTCTGTGCTTGACAGGAGCTTTGCCATGCAACTGGCACACCTGCAAGCTCGATTGGTCTTTATCAGCATCAGCAGCTTACCTCACATATAGAAATCTATATATAACAAAAATGAGATTGGACAAGTAAATAAATAATGAGATATTTAGTTTCGATTGTGGGCGACAGTTTAAAAATAATATAACTTAAAGGGAATGCCTTTTCAAGACCTTAAAAAAAATGTAACTTAAGAATCCTAAGTAAGGATCTTACTTTTTCTAAGAAAAGTTGTAAAAAATTTCCCAAACATGGTCTAACAGATGAGATTTTCATATAAATATAGTTTCCTAAAATTAAGAAATAAGATTTTTAAGTACTGAAAGTAAAATGTATACCTTATTAGCTTTATACTTTTTATTAAAATGGAAAGTAAAGGTACCAATTTTTGTGGAACCTTGGTTCAGTTAGCATAACACCTCTATAAAACATTTACATAACTACAATACATAATTTTCTGCTATCCCTTAACTTTTACCCCCTACTCGCCATGATCCACAGATAACAACTTAACTATCTTTTTGTTGAACTCTCTTCTCTCTCTTTCTACATTTCGTTTGATCAATAATACCATTTTGGTCCCCTCCTTCTTGTAACCCACCAATTTTACCAACCACACACAACAACACCACAAATTAGCTTGATAATTGCAAGGTAGGTTATCAAAATCGATAAGATGATGGCTCCAATGGGCTGCTGAGACCTGACCAAAACCTAATGTCATTACAATTACACCTGTTAATCCGCACAGGTGTCCCTGGAGGCCGATCGTCCCATTGTCAGCGCCTGCCGCAAGACGAGCTTCTACCACCACTCCCATGCGCATCACCAGCGGTCAGGAGCCTCCTCCGGGGGCGGTGGTGTGGGAGGGGGCGGGACCGGAGGTGCCTCCCACATGTCCCACTCGTCCAGCAATGTCCTGCGAGCCCGGCGCGGAGTCGTCCGTATGCTGATAATATTCGTGCTGACATTCGCCCTCTGCAATCTGCCCTATCATGCCCGCAAAATGTGGCAGTACTGGTGAGTAGTCCACCCACCAAACCCATCATATCCCACACCATCCATACCATATACCATCCATTCATTCCACTTGGCCGGTACGCAAACAATATTTTATGGTATACTGCACCGGGAATTGACGAACATTTGCATATTCGGCCGATTGACGGGAAATTAACATCTGCCAGTGGGCAGATAAGGCCGAGATGGCTTCCTGCTGGATTCAAGGCTGGTAAACAATTAAGTCATCAATGGGTATCCAACCAACCAAGTAACCCCACCAGTTTTCAGCTCAACTTTGGCTTCGAGCTAAATCGATTTGAAAACGCTCCTCCCTTTTTTGCAAACCAATTTCGTTCTAAAGACGGAAAATACGCTTTCTTCTCTTCCTTTCAAAAGCGGACGCCAAACAGAAGTCCGGCTTAAACAGCCCTTTGGCTATCAGTTCCGCTTCCGGTGGGGCATTTAAACTGCACTGATAAAAAATTGATACGAAATCATAGTCACATTGACAAAATTCAGTATCAATATCAACTTTTACTTAAAGAGCATAGTGTTCGAAACAATGCAGTTTTTACTTGGCTTTCTTGGTTTTACTTACGATCGTTTTAGTTGCCGTCTTGTTTTTATACTCTTTACCGATTTAAGAGTTTTGCAGTTTTTAATATCACTTTAACATTATTAAAATATGATACATATTGATGCCTGGAATTTTGTTTTCAGTGTAGGTGGGTCGCTTTCCTGTCTTTGAATTTGGAACACTCTGGGGTAATGGTGATTCGTGGGCGGTCCAGAAAAACTCACTGGGTGCTTTGGGAGTGTTGTTTGCAGTCGAGCGACGAGCTAAATCGAGGAGGAGTTAATTGGTCCTTGGGTAAAGCTAAAACCCTGCACTTAAGCATAGCCTCTGACTACTTCCTAGCCTTAAATGAAAATGCTTCACAAGCCTTTAAATTTCGCACAAGGTATAAAAGCAAACTTAAACTTATACCAGAAATCCGCTTGGTATTGATGGTGCTATCGTTTTTATTACTAGTACTTGTACACTCAAAAATATCAAAATAAAATATTAATTCTTACCTCAACTTTTTCCACATTTCCAACAAATCATAAACATTTTTTGGTAACAACGCCAAAAACTATTGAGTTCTTCTCTAAAGTCTCTGCTGATTTGCTACGTTGCACTTTTGGCAGACACCCCAGAAATTTATTTGAATTTTATTCTCAGTCTGCGGGAAAAATAGCTGAAACGCATGACTCTTTCCAACCGCAGTTAGCGCACTCAATTTGCACAAATGTGTAATGTATTGCTGGCGAAAATACCTTTATGATTTCTTGGCAAATACAAGCGAAGGCACATTATCCCACAGTCCCACAACCCCGACGGTGCCATAATTGAGATTTATGTCTAGCATGACTGGGCTGCGAGAGTTGTTTACTTGTCTGGAATTTCAGTTTTCATTTATTTGAAGAATTGGCTGCCCAGGGATGTTTGCATTGTAAGGTGGATTGGTGGATTCGGTGTGGAGGAGGACACGGGCAGCTTGACTCTTGGTCTACCTCAGAAAAATGTCAGCAATTCTGACCCATAATGGCCATTTCAATGGCGAGTTCCACTCAACTGGAACAGATAATAAACAAGCAAATAGATAAATATGTAAGCGACATTTTGACGGATGTCTTTCAGTGGCTAAAATGAAAAAACCTTGGATATTGTGTAATAAACGCAATCAAGGTAAATGATTGTCGAATTCAGGAGAATTTTTATACAAATGCTAAAGTAATTTCAAAACCGAAGATCGTTTTTTTTTGGAAGATCATAAGCTTAGATATTTAAATAAGAATTCAATATTTCCTGAATGGTAAGAAGAACTATACTTTGGAACAGGCATTTTGAATTTTATTTTTCAAGAAAAATTTTAACCTACTGTCTGTTAAACTAAAAAGAAAACAATACTCTATTCTCCGTTTATGTGCACAATGTGTCTAAAAATCTTCCAAAAGTTAAAAATAAAATACAAATACAAATACAAATGATTTGGAATATTTTTGACAATTTTCTATAGTGTCCTTACATGACTGGCGTTTCCAGTAATTTAAATAATGATGGAAATAATTTTCGTGTCTGGAGATGTAACGCGACTCTCTCCCAACTCTTCTCAGATGCTAAATTTAGCCGATTCCACAGACACATTATCATATAGCTGTTATTGCTACTTAAGACGAACACGTCCGCGTAATTGGCACGCGTTTACATTTCCTCGCAGCTGTAATGCGTAAATGCAAGAAGGTTTGGTGTCACGGGGTGCCACGTTTCCATTATTATCCCCCGAACCCCTTTCTTCCGGTTAGTCCGGTGATAACGATAACGATGTCAACTGCCAGCAGTTGGCAACTGCTTCCAGGATATATCCCCTTTACATACACAGGGTCGACAAATGACCACCCGGAGTTTTGCTCTTAATTTTCTGGCCCCGATTCAGATTGGCATTTAAATTTGGTCTAGAGCTGGCCAACTCTTGGCAAAAGGCCACTTTAGGTCCGAAGCAGTGGCGAAAACAAAGCGAAGGCCTTTCGAGTGGCCCAATCAGTTAGCCAACTACTCTTCTTGAGAACAGAGCCACTTGCAAGTGCAGGGCGAATTTTTAGCGAGAAACAACGGTAGGACAATTTGACAGTTGGTGCAAAGTTCTTCTTGTCCAAACTCAAAATAAAAAGGACGAAAAGCGAAGAACACCTCTCATTCTGCTTTAAATATTGTTCTGCATGGAAAGTTTCGGGACAAGTTTATGTTGCATACTTGCAGGCGGCGAAAAACTTTGCTCTTGGCCGAATTCCCCACTCCATTAAGCAAGTTTTTGAGAGCTTTTTGCTCCCAGACGGCCAAAAACAATACTGCCAACAGCAGCTTAATCACCTGGATACGTTCAAGTGGACAAAAGTCAGCACCTTCTTTGGACACTCGCCGGAGATTTGGTCTGTTGCACACAGAAAATTAATGTTCTTGCCAAGGTGTCTAAAAGTATGCTGTGAGAAATAGAACGTCGCTTTTCTGCACTTTAAGATATAAGATTTTGTTGTTTTCACTTCGTTCCAAGTTTCTGACTAAACCTAAACAATACAACTTCAAGGGTAAACAGTTCAATATTTTTAAGAAACTCGTTGGCTTAATTTGTGCTTAGTTTTTAAATATAGATACATCCCAGGATAAAGTATTCCATTGTTTGGGCCAATTTTTTCAGTGTGCCAGCGTGATGATGGCTTTGGGTCTAAAAATGCTGCAGTTCTCGGAGGGAATTGAATTTAAGTGGATTTCAAATTAAATAAATTGCACACTTTGTGAAACTTTATATCTTGCATAATTAACGTGCTCACTGGCGTAGTTTCGCTTATGAATTTTTTAGTGAAAACGCAAACTGGTAGTATGAAAAAGTCATATTATATATAAATATTTTTTGCTGAGGGAGAATTACATTGAAATGGCAAAACACTTTCGACCAGCCCTGTTTAACAATCGAGAATTCGAGAATTGTAATCTACTTTCGGGACAGGCCACAGAACTCAGTTCAATGTTTGCCCAACAGATGCTCATTTGCATACACGCAGAACACATCTAAATATAGTACATAGATCTAAAGGCAGATAGTTATTTCCATGTATATGCATTTGCAGGTCACGTTCGTATCGCGGTGATTCCAATTTTAATGCGCTGCTAACGCCGCTCACCTTTCTGGTCACGTACTTCAATTCGGGCGTAAATCCCCTTCTCTACGCCTTCCTGAGTCGCAATTTTCGGAAGGGCATGAAGGAGTTGCTTTTGTGCTCCTGGAAGAAGGGCAAAGGCAAGTCGTCCTCGAACTCCTCGATGCACCACAAACGCAAGGCGCTGCAGGTGAGTGTCTCTGGCCCCGACATCTGGTAAAAGCCCCGTAAACATTTTGGCATCTTATCCTCCTACTTGTAGACCCACTCCCTGCCCACGGACACCACGCACATCGGGAACGAGCAGCTATGATGGCCACGCGGCTGGAGGAGACCCTTCAAGCTCTTCGGGCGACGCTCTTAGGACCCCCATTTGTACCCCCATCCATCCCATCGAAGGATGCACCATTCTGCTCTTCGGGTCCGCTAGCTAGCTATCATTTCATTGTGATTTCGGAAAGCCTATTGCTCGGGATCGAATCGAACCGAATCGCGGAACTATCTCCTAGCTGGTGTCAAGTTCTATTGATAGAGTAAGTTAGTTCTTAAGAAAAAGCTAAATAAAATCAATTTGCATGCATCTCCATGAGCATAGCTGTCAAGTTCTTAGTATAAGCATTTGACTTAAGAGTGAGTCGGAATAAATAAATTTAAATAAAAAACAGTTAAGATAATTATTACTTCTGCTACATTACTCGCCGTTAAATATTTTCCACAGCAAAAATCAATCGAATTCCAAAAACAAGCCTGGTAAATGGTTTTCGCACCCGCCCCAAAAAACCATTTCGCGTTGTTAAAATTGCAAGTTGGCCGCCGCCAACGAGAGCATCCGCAATTTATATATACTATCTCTTTATAGACCTGACTTGCGATATCTGATGACAAGGGTTTTATGGTCAGCCGGAGAACACGCTTCGTTGCGGCTGCCAAAAACAAAAAATATGACACACAGACGGAGGAGACTGCATTAAAATTGGTCGAATTTTTTGCTAAGCGCAGCATTTTGTATCCCCACTTGGGGCTGTCAGGACTCGTAAGTCAACGGAGGAAACGCCGCAGTAAATTCACGAGGGAAACTCAATTACCAGGCGGACTGACGTTGGCGCAAATTAAAAACCAAAAGACTTCGTAAAATCGCTTGAAACTCATTGTTAGTTCTCTCCGTTTCCGGTACTTCCTTACGCTTTTGTTTATCCAGTGACCCAGTTTATACAAGGCTTTGTGATGCAAAAGGCTTTCCAAAAAAATATGCCAAAGCAGTTCTTTAAAAGGTTATCAAAAAGGTTGGAACCAGTCGTCTCTTTGGAAGATAGTTCTTAGTCAAAGTTAGTTTTCAAAACTGATGATTGTCCGCTTTTTGTTGAGTCTACAAACGAGCAATATTGTTGTTATCGGGTGCATTCACTAAAGTGCCTAAAAATCTAAAAAAACCGCGTAACAGCCAATACAAAATTAAAGAAACCACAGGGAACCTGATAGCTTTTACAAGCAGAAACTGAAACGGATCAGCTTTTTTAAAAATTATTATTATGGATAGTAAAATCTCCAAGTTGGATAAAAATGTGATATTTAGGGATACTTGCCCCTTTGTGTAGGTTCGGGGCCATGCTCGCGCCGAGGGGTATGCCTCAGTATTTTATGATCTGGAGGGGGGCTTGAAACATGGCTTGGGTGAATAGTAGCTCCCACCGGTAAGTATGCTTTACTGTGTGTATCATCATATCATCAGAATGATTCCTGGTATTTTTTACATTTTAAGGTGATTTTTATTCTGTGTGAACGCTCCGCACCATTTTTTCATTATTATGCATATATACATTTTTTGTTTCCTATTCATTTTTGAAAATACAGTAATTAATTAAATAAATGCTGATATATACTCTCTTTAAAAAGGATGAAACTACGATGTTTTTTTCCATCTTTATTGCTACCGCTACTTCTAAATTTGTTGCTGTATCCCCCTAGGTTAAAGCCCAGCAGATATAACTTGAAAAAAGGGGTTGGAGGCAATTTGTAATTGTTTCAAAACCAGAATATATAGAAATAAATAATAGTTTTTTGTAGAAATAAAAAAAAATTGGCCTTTATTCGATTACATTTTTTTCTCGACATCAGTGCAAGCCAAAATCGGTCGATATAGACCTAGAAGATAGCACATGTAATGCACATAGCATACCAAGTCTAAGTTAATGCACTTATGACCGCATATTCTGCAGAAACTTCCAGCTGTTCTAGTGAGGAGTTCGACTCGGGGGCTGACTCGAATGATTATGATTCCGACAAATTCCTCGAAATCGAACGAAAAAAACGAAATGTATGGAGAAATTGGCTAAAGACTCAGCCAATTTTCTTCGCAGAATCCTTTAGATCTTGGCTAGATTGCTGAACTCAACCAAAAACTATTGCAGGCTATTTATGGAGAACAAGTTACCCATATATTTGTATATTCTAACGCACATATAACGCCCACTTGTATCTAACACTTTTCCGTGTCATAGCAATCGTTTAAACAAGATATCATATGTGTGAGAAGCAACATAATACACTTATCAATAAATTATGAAGCCTAATTAAAAAGGCACACAAATTCAGCTGGACAGACTGCAATCCTTTCTAACTACCCCATAATCTATAGCGAACTGTTTAACGAACTAGGAGCATAATTGATCGGGATCCAGCCCCCCAGAAGCTGATGTCGGGTAATTTATGCAATGGCTTTTTAATTAAAACGCCAGGCAGCTTAACTCATTGACACTAAACTTGCTATTTGACTATGACAACATGCTGGAGTGGAGGAGGTAATTTAGCTGGTAATTCATAATTTCCCAAGGCCAGTGGAAATTAATTTGCTGTGTTTGAGCCATTGACACGAGTTCGCAGAATGGATTACGAATCGCTGAAGTGCAAAGTTGCGCCAGTCGCCAAAGTCCAGAAGTAGGAACTTGTGGGGGTGAACATGTGCCATTCCAGAGGATGTAGATGTGGAGGTGGATGTGGGCTGGATGTCCACTAATCCGATTAGTTGTGCAAAAATAACAGTTTGACCAGGGGGAAACGGCTATGGCGAAAAGCGTGTACAAATTTACCTAACGGCTTATGGCAATTAGTCGAACGAGTTACACAGGATGCAACTTTGATTCGGCCCGGCTTTGTGTGAGTTTCCGTTGCGTGGGTGATTAGACAATCTTGCCGTGTTGTGCTCGTGTGGCCAGAGGATGGCTAAGCTATTTTTATTCAGCTCGCTTTTAGACCGGGTTTCAATCTTGCACAAACACAAAGTTTTCGCATATACCAGCCATTTAGGCAAGTTTGTACTCATCCCCCATGCGAAAAGTTAAGTGCCAAGTTTGCCCCAACAAGTGGCATTGAATTTGACAGAAGAACATGGTTTCAGGATTGTGACTGGGATTGGACAACTGCCGACAGCAGAGGCAAAGTTCTTTGTGTGCTCTCGAAATTAATTTGAATGAAATATATTGAGTGTAATGCAAAAGACAAATAAAACTTGCAAGAACTTTCCATTTTACTCTTGGCCAAGAGTGATTGCACCTTGGCCTCCAGGCTTGACCGAAAACCAAATAAACTGGGTGTATGTACCTTGATGGATCAGCCAGCTGGTTAGTTCTGTTTGCCTGGTAAGGGGTTTTTTCTTTTCAAATTTTTCGGAAATTTTTATTTTCTGTGAGGGGTGTAGGTCAGAGGTTTTTGGGGGGTAAAGTCCCCAAGCCTGCTTTGCATCAAGTCACTGGTCTGTCTGTACCGAAAAATGAACAGGCTACCAGGAAAACGACAGGAAATGCCTGACCACTCTTCATGCATTTCTAGATATGTAGGTTGCACCACACAACCACTCTCCAAACTAAAAATCTAAACAACCGACCCAACTTGGCCCCAAATGACAGACAGTTATCTCGAATGCAACAGCCACTGAAGTTTTGCTGAAATTTAAGTGCCGGGCACTGCATCCTGACGAGGCAAAGGCAAAAACAGATAGAAATCTGGCAAAATTTTAAATTCGACTTATAAAGTGCTTAAGTTATTACGCCGGCCAGCAGAGCGGAGCAGCCTGTTTAGCATTTCCGCTTCCGTTTGCACAGATTGCATTCCAACTGGACTCAGTTTGCATTTTTCATGAGTTTCGCAATTCAATTTAGATACCCAAGTCGAGTCTCAGATTTAAAGTTCAGCTAAATGAGCATGCGAAGAAAACAAAACAAACTCTTGAGGTCCTCAAATCTGGGCATCTAAAGCAACCCTTTTCTTATTTATATGCCTGCTAAACGGATCTTTTCGAGCCAGGGCACACAGCCTATTGTTTTAGGATGCAGCCAAATGGATTTGATTGGGAAATTTGTTGATTTTTAATTTGACCCGGCCCATTCTTAATAAATTAGTAAAAGTGGGGGTTCCGGCCAGACGACGCCTACCAAAAAGTCCCCTTCCATGTTAAAATCCCCTCGATCATTATGTAAAGTAAGCTCATTTAAAAAGAGAAAAGCTTATGGCTCCTGTGGAAATTACGCATACGCCGCATAAATCATTCACCGTAAGCCGCCACCCGGAACGTAATGGAACGGAGCCGGAGGGCGAAAATCCGGATACGGCTGTTTCGGTTTCGGCGCAACACAAATTGCCTGGCTGGCCGCATTAATTGCGGCCTATTTATATGGCCGTTTCACGTGTTTAACCTGATTTAAATACAATTAAAATGCACAGCAGAACACCCCCCACACACACACACACTCGACTTAATCCCGTTAACGGCCAGATCCTTAAAGATTTTCCCCCATCTCCCATTGAATACAACACACAAAATCCTTTTCGGTTTTACATAATTAGCCCTTATTATTAAAATATCTTTTGGTTTATACACGAATGTTAGCCACATGCTCTTCAGATCCTTACTCTTATTGAAGCTTTAGTTGCGGGACTAAAGCCTTAAGCTATAGACTCCTGTGATTTGGGATTGTTAGCAGATGGTTTCTTTGCATTACACTAGGGATACAAAATGTGTCGTAGCGTAAGAAAAACTAGACTAATGGTTAAAAATAATCTTAGGATACATTGGGTACTTTCTATTTACATTTCCCACTCTAAGGACTTAAACTACAAATGCATCTTTGGTCCAAACGGTACACGTTTTCTACTTTCTCCTTTTTTTTTGGGGCTTATGTGAGGATCCTGGGGGCTAACTCCCTCCTATGTACAGATGACATCCTGACTAATCCTGAATTGGCTACAGGTAGACAAAGTGCCCCAATCCCTTGGCCGGGTTGTTGTTTACTGCCTCTGCTGTGAGTTTGGTACTGGCATTGGGATTGCCATTCAGGTCATGGGTCGTGGTCTCCGTTTCCGCCACAGGCATCAATCTTCCGTAGACTCCTGCAGATGCAAAACGGGCATTCATGTGGATATCCAACAGCTTCTTATCCTTTCCCAACGAGGAGAACGAGTGCGATGAGGTGCGTATCTCACGGATGTTGTACACCGGGCTGTAGGCTCGAGCGGGTGAGATGGATACGGCCACCTGGGGGGCAGTAGGAGCTGCAGCCGGAGCAGGAGCTGTGTAAAAGTCCCTTCGCAGAGCACATTCGGTGGAATTATCCGAGGAGCCGGAACTGCTGGCACACTCGTCCTCATCCTCGGCATCCTCACTGCTGCTGCAGCTCCTCAGATCCTCGGACAAGGATAGGTCCGATTCCAGGGAGAGCTCCAGCAGACTAGTGGCATCCTCGGCCGCCTCCTTGGCAGCCTGGTCAATGGCCTCGTTCAGATTGGCCAACAGCTGGCGACGCCGGGCATAGTTGGGTGTCCTTCGCACCAGGAAGTGGCAGCTCTCCCCCCTCTTCATCCGCTCCATTTGGGTTCGCAGCGGCAAGTCATCCGGATGCAGTTTCCTCTGGCACTCCTGGCCCGGACACACCTCGTACAGCGAGAAGCATTCCACGGGCTCCGGTGAGCTGTAGCAGCCGAGCAGCAGGTGCAGCAGCTCATCACTGGTCGTCTCCTCGCTGATGACCAGCGACTTGTACTGGGAACTGGGCTGCAGGGCGGAGGTGTGGACACGGATCAGGCCACCTGGCTTCAGCTGGAGGCAGAAGCGGGACTCGCCCTTGGGATGACAGGCCTGCATGATGGCCGGCCGGGTGTCGTCGTCCAGCACCAGGAGGGTCTTCACCCCCGCCCGGCGCACAGCCACCTCCATGGAGAGGTAGAACAGCTTGGGGTCGCGATGGCGCATCTTCAGGCTGAAATCGAATTTAAATTTAAATCGAATTAATTCCCTGCTGTATACAGGCAATAAAACAATCTGCTTACCGTCTTAGCAACTGGCCAATCACCTCCTTGCTGGTAGTGTCCCACTGAATTCCAAGGGTCTTGTACTCGATGTCGATCTTCAGGCAGTTGGTGTACACCTTTATTGTGGTCTATGGGTGGTAAATTGGATGGGCATGAGTAAGTGGTTCTATAGGAAATTTCCCATTTTTAGTTTCTCACCTGTGGCAGCTGCTCGTTGAGACTGGAGTAGCTGGAGGCCCTCGAGGGAGTCCTCTGCAGGTCCGTCGGCGGCTCTGGACTGCCGCACATGGAGCTGGCGCACGAGGAGGCGTGGCTGGAGGAGCGCAGGGACACCGAATCGGAGCGGTTCCTCAGAGGCGAGATCTGCACGTGCTTCAGCATCTGGAAAAACAGGAAAACGGAATGCGGGTTAGACATATGGTTTACGCTTACGGATACCCCAAACTTGAGGCTTATTCATTATGAATGCTTCCTGGAAAACTCCAAGAGCACTTGCTACTCTAAATGAAGTTGCCACATCCGGTTTGTTTTTCAACAAGGGGTGCACAGAGAGAAAAAATATAATATCATGTAATATATGTAAAATCATATTAACAAGGCAACCTTTACGATTGATTAAAGCGATTTTCCTTAACTATATAGACCATTGTAAAATCCTATTTTGAATTATAGGATATGTATATATCGATTAGGCCGGTATTTTATGAAGGGTATAAACCAGTCTAAAAACCATTTCAAAATATATGGAATAAATGGGTATATATTATTATATTAAGGTCCTAACACTCTCTGAATTAAACAACTAATCTGATTAAATTTAATATTCTTTAGTTTTACTAAAATATTTATTTGGAGTCTTAACTTAAGACCTCAAGAACTTTAAGTAGATAATGTAAAATGGTTATTTTTTATTCTCTGTGTAAGCAGATATGGGGGCTCTGTTGTGCAACTGTGTACAGTGAACATCCCCTTGCTGTGCCCCCTGAGTTTTCGTATTTCCCTGATGAATGCAGCCACTTTCAGGCAGCAGCCAACGCTCATTGAAGCATGTAAATGAAGGGGAAGATATTGAGGAGAAGTGTCCTCATCCGAAGCATCTCTCGAAGAGCCCATGGAAGGGGCTATAGGGGTATGATGTATTGAAATTAATAAAGGGTTCCCAGTGTCGCTGTGCTCTTGATGGCGGTGACAATGAGCCATGAATGGGCGAAATGGGCCGTGCATCGGGGAAATCGCCGCCTGACATTTGATTGAAAGCCCTACCTCCAGACCCCCGACCCCCCAAGTCCACTAAATACCCACGATTTCCCCCTATGCCCAGAGATCCCGAACGGAACCAACCAGGCATTGAGATTTATTCGGGGCGTGCCGCATTGTGAGGCGATTGCAAGCGGAAGTTGGTGGGATAGACGCGGCTCAACATCCGGTTATGCAATCCCCATTCCTATATACATATGCATGGGTATATATAGGATATATATAACGGCCTGGGTGGGCGTATGGCATATGGCAAATATATGTTCCCCCCTTAATCATTTGCAATTGCTTTAATCTGGAACCTCGTCATATTTAATTGAAATGTAAAAAGTTTGGAAAAATGGCAGCGATGATTGCGGGCCCCTCACACCATTAATTAGAACTGGATTCCAAGTGGCAGTCTCTGGAGCAAGTGAACCGCAGCGAACCAGCATAAAATTTCAACGGTCGCTGGAGCAATGCAAACTGCGAATTGCGACTGTCATGGTATGGGACTTGGATTGAGGATGGGGAATGGGAATGGGCATGGGCATGGTACTGCAGATGAGGATCGGGGGGCTGGTTAAGTGCTGACGTCTGCTGTTCCCGCAATTAGCGGCTAATGTTGCAGAGTTTCACGCCAAGTTGGAGCCCGGGTCACTGCGAAATTGAACTCGCGAAGCTCGCCTACTTCATTTTAATCGCAAATACTGGGAAAATCCCACAGAAACTAAATACATTTGTTGCAAGTATTTTTTACTGTTTAGAAGAGTCAACAATAACAGTTTAGATATAGTAAATTTTTCATTACTCACAGACTTTGTCTGAACTTCAACAAAATCCCTTTGGATTAAGAGCTTGCAGGAAAGTCTTTGAGCAATAAACGAATTTATGGTGCCTCCAATTGCGAATCAACTAAATGAATTCCCAACTCGAAATATAAACATAAATCCAATAAAATTTGGAAATTGAAGATGGGAAAAAGTGGCAGAAGGAAATCAAGAAAATATATTTAATGCGAAATTGAATTACAAATTCGCATAAAAATGCTGGGACACCCTGGACACGGTAAAAAAAAAGTTGAAAGGAACGGAAAAATGTTAATAGGATTCTCGTTTGAGGTGTCAAAGGGACAGAGAAGAAGTCAGTTAAGTGGATATTAGTTAAAGATTTATGGTTCTCATCGTGATACAACTAGCTTTGACCTCTCATTGAGTTGCTTAGCCCTAGTTTTAACAGAGATACTGTGTGCCCAAACTTTTCCAATTATGCCATTGATATCAGCCGTTGGCCCCCGGGTCCTTAAAGTGCTGGAGAAGTCGCATAAATTCCATGGGGCAATACGGGAGACACAGAAGATACAGAGCGAGACGGAGGAGTAAGTAACTGCCAGACAGACAGACAGACAGACCTTATGGAACTTACAACTGCTGGCAGGAAACAAAAGAGGCAATAAAAAGCAGCTGACGGGGGGAGTAGGAAGCTAAAAGATGCTCAGAACTTGCGAGGAATGTTTTAATTTCAACTTTTCGGCGAGGAAATCGTAAACGTTTCCTCCCGAGGAGATGACAGCCTCACTCACGGCTGAAAAGTTCTCTAGTTTCGGGATAACAAAAATGTTTTTGCATCTTAACAAATGGATTTTTACTCCTTGATTATTAAAAAAAATATTTAAAATTATATATATATTCAAAAAAATCATATCATTCCCTCAGACTTAAACAACTCACGGCTCCACATCCAACTGTCACATGTCGCCGCTTCAAGAGTCATGTAATGTGTGCGCCCCTGACTTTCAATGTCAGGAAATAAATGTCCTTGAACTTGTTGCTGAACAGCGAAAACTTTATGGCCACCGGTATATATTTAAAAGTTTATCAGAAGAGGGGCCGTACGGCTGCATCCTTTATCAATTTCACACATTCGAGAGGCAAACGACCAAAAGGATTATTGATTGAATTACCCTTGGCAGCGAAAGGCACCAGAAAATACTTTCATGGCCAGCAGACTAGAAAAAGGGACCAAAACTGAAGTCCATCAAAGGGTCTAAGGAATATACTTTCTTTTTTTTTTGTTAAAGAACAAGGAAAGATACTTTAAGTGCGAAAAGGCACACTTAACGTGGTATCTGGGGGGCTGTCGGAATAAGTCGGCTGACGTGTCTGATAAGATTTGAATGCCATGTTACGTTTTCTTTATTAATCAAAGACAGGAGCCGAGAGGTCGGATGGAAATGGATGGAGTCCTAACAGACGACGACAACCTCAGAGCTTTTGCCAAATGTGGCCATCGTCGCCGGGGCCATTATTTCTATTGTCAGGCTGGCGAGGACCAAAAATTGCCAGCAAGATGAAAAATGGCAGACGAAACACTCGCTAAAGGGAAAAAGTCAACGGGACAGATAATTTGTAACCCCAACAAATGAGTCACTTTAACTGAAAATATAGGGTGCATGTTCTATATTATAAAAATGTAATAGAGATTCGCATTTTCGTCTGTTAATTATAGCAGTGTTTCATTTAAATCGGTTGGCAATTCTATGGAAATTTACAAGCTCCGCCATTCATATGCAAATAAATTGGTTGATGAAACGAAAATAAAATAAAATCGAACCGGTAAATAAATGTGACAGTACCTGTAAAATTGTTTGACTGTGATGGAAACTGACAGAAGTCAATATTTAAATAGACTTCTGGCTATAGTTGCGAATCATATGATGCCTTTACAGATTGTGTGCTTTACCGGCATATTTAATGCACCTGCCGCATGACGGGAAAAATTCGCATAAAAAAGACACTCTCGGCTGGATATTAAATCGCATTTACGTTTTTTCTTCTATTTAATTGATTAAATTGACTTGTAAAAGTCAATTAGGTTAACTGTTTTAATGGCAAACTGTTTACCGAGAGAGGCCCCTTTGATTGGGCCCTCTTTTGGCCACTTTGTTCTAGCCTATTTTGCCTCGATGCCCAGCGAAGCGTTCTTTTTTATTCTTAGTTGAGTGATTTTTGGTGTTTCGCTTTACGGTTAATTTATGCGCAGCCTGCTTGGATTTTTTATTACAGACTTGGTCTGTGTATTTTTAGCATTGGAGGCGGTTGTGGGTTAATAGCTTTATGGAAAACCGCTAAGTAGCAAAAATTAAATGGTGAAATTTGAGAATTCTAATTCAGGGTATATATCTTTCAAACCACACAAGAAAAAGCCGTCAACTAAGATAATATATATATAAAAAACCACCCATAAACATGAAATATGTTTCGTACTCCACCAGCCGTGCAAATTAATACAAACAACGAGGATGAAAAAATTGTGTAAACTATTTTCGTAATGCTGCCATAAAATAAAAGCCGCAAAAAGTGGCCTGAACAAATTAGTTGAAAAACTCTCTCCGTCTCACTAACATTTATAATGCATTGCTTAAGCGGGCTATTTATTTATCTTCGGTGGCTTTGAGCCCCCTCCTTAACCATTTTTTATTGCCAGCTGCCCGCTTTTGTAAGCCGCTTAGCCGACCATTTTTTCTGGCCATTAAAAAGTGTTGCATAGTAAAAGGCGCCAGGGCCGCGGTAGTGCAAAAAGTCATCCAACAACAACATCAAAATTAAATTTCACTTTTAATCAACTTTTCGCCACTTCGACCGCTTTTCCAGGGCAAGAAGGATATTTTCCAGAAGCGATTCCTTTAAGCTGGTAATTGGTTGTTATTTTTTTTTACCCATGCTGCAGCTTCTTTTGTTTCCTTATAAATATAATAAAGCCTTTAAAACGCATTGCATTAGGCGAGGTGGTGCTCCTCATTAAAACTTGGAACTGGCTTGGACTTCAAGAGATGCTAAATGCGGAATAAAGAGTGCGAAATGCGGAAAGCAGGACTCGTAATGCAGGTTTTAGAATGCAGGACGCTGTTTGGGGCTCTAACACCAAGGCTGTGGCTCAAAATAGAGTCAAAAGTGCAAAAAGAGCTTCAGTGGAGCATGAAGCGAAATTAAGAGTAGCGCCAGCAACAAAGACCAGTTGCGGCTCCAAGTTAACGCGGCGCAGCGAATTAAACATCTTTCATAGAGGTCTACACTATGCGAAAAAATCTAAAAGATTAACTTGTGCTTCTGAAATATTTAAAAAAAACTTACACACAAAAAAAT